ACCACTGAGCCATCTCTCCAGACAGCCTTTGAATTTTATTGGATTATTTATTTGCGTGTTTGTACAGGTGTGTGTGTGTGTGTGCGCGCACGTGCCATGGCACACTCACTTGGAGGTCAGGGGACAACTTGGTGGAATGGCTTCTCTTCCCTCTGCCCTTCCTCCCACACACACACTTTGGGACAGGGTCTCACTATGTAGACCAGACTGCTCTTGAGTTTCCAGAGATTTGTCTGCCTTGAAAGCATGGGAATCAAAATTAAAGGTGCACACCACCACACCTGCCTCTGGCACGTGACAGTACCTTCATTAGCATCATCTCCTAGCCTCAATAGGCTAGGCTGGTCTCTAACTCACAGAGAACCATCCACCTGCCTTTGCCTCCAGAGTACTGGGATTAAAGACCTGCACTACCACACCTAGTTCCCCCCCCCCAGATAGGGTTTCTCTTTTCAACAGCCCTGGCTGTCCTGCAAAACACTCTGTAGACCAGGCTGGTCTCAAACTCAGAGATCTACCTGTCTCTGCCTCCAGAGTGCTGGGATTAAAGGCGTGCACCTCCACCATCTATTTGAATTTTTTTAAATATTTATTTATTTAGTGGACGGGGACATATGCTACATAGTGAAACCCGTTTCAAAACAACAACACAGCCCTTCCGCATAATAAAATGAACAAGGTCTCACAATGTAGCTATCCTAGAACTCAACTATGTAGATCAGGCTGGCCTCTGCTTCCCTGAGTGCTGGAATTAAAGGCATGTGCCATCATGCCTGGCTGTTTTACCTTCTTGGTAAAGGGCTTTCCTCATCCCTCATCAATGAAGATGGTGTAGGCTTAGACAGAGACTGCAGAACCAGGAACATTGCCAGAAATGTCAGTTTCTCAATCGCAGATCCTATTGGTAAGGTCCTTCTTCATACAATTACAGAGTCTGCTACGAACCCCCTAACAGGGTCAAACCTTACTCCTAGTTGTGTGACCTTAAGTAAGTCCATTTCACTCAGTCTATTTACTCATTTATAAATTGACCAAAAACAGAGCCAGACATTGGCTTGGTTGGTAGAGTTCTTGTCTAGTTCTCATGAAGTCCTATGTTCAATATCCAGTACTGCACAAATCCACACAAACTGAGTATAAGTGGTACAAGTCTATAATCTTAGCATTAAAGAAATGGAGGTTAAGAGGTTCAAAAATTCAAGGTCATCCTTGCTGTGGAATAAAACCCTTTGTACACTGTGAAGATCTGTCGATGTGACTGGTTTAAGAAACAAGCTGAAAGCCAGGCGATGGTGGCGCACGCCTTTAATCCCAGTACTTGGAGGCAGAGGCAGGCGGATCTCTGTGAGCTTGAGGGCAGCCTGGTCTACAGTGTGAGTGCCAGGACAGCCTCCAAAGCTATACAGAGAAACCCTGTCTCCGAAAAAAAGAAAGGAAGGAAGGAAGGAAGGAAGGAAGGAAGGAAGGAAGGAAGGAAGGAAGGAAGGAAGGAAGAGGGGCTGGAGAGATGGCTCAGCAGTTAAGAGCACTGACTGTTCTTCCAGAGGTCCTGAGTTCAATTCCTGGCAACCACATGGTGGCTCACAACCACCTTGAGTGAGATCTGGTGTCCTCTGCTGGCCTGTAGGCAGAAGGCTCTATACACAATAAATAAATAAAGTATTAAAAGAAAAGAAAGAAAGAAACAAACAAACAAGCTAACTGGCCAATAGCTGAACAGAATAAAGTTAGCCAGTAGAGCCAAACTAAGAATGATGGGAACGAGAGGGGCAGAGTCAGAGGAGTTACCAGCCAGACTCAGAGGACGCAGGAGATGAACGTGTCATGCTAATGAAGGTACTGTCACGTGGCAGAGTGTAAATAAGGAATATGGGTTAACTTAAAAATGTAAGAGCGAGGTCCCGGGTCCCCACGGCGCATGTAGGTTGTAGCCGCTGGGGCCCCGGGCGGCAGGGCGAGGGGCTGGGTGATCGACCCTCCCGGATCCTCATTCTCCCCGGCTTGGCCAAGACACCACACCCCCACCCAGACCCCACCCTGGGGCTGTGCGGATTCTGTCTGGCTACCACTGTCCACCTTACACATTTCGCCCCCCCCCTTGATCCCGACTTTCTGTCGCCGTTCGAGCCCCGGGGAAGCGGTCTCCCAGCCTGAGGGTCCGGGTCTGTCCTGGACCCCAGGCTGTCTGACTAGTACTGCACCTACCCTCAGTCTTCGGTCAAGTTCCTCCGCTGGCTGGCCCCGAAGGAATGTGTGAAGGCAGCTGTGCCTGGCTGCAGCCTCTGCTTACAAAGCTGCCCGAAAGCCAAGAAGGACCCTCCCGAGGGCTCAGACTGACCTAGGCCTCCGTCCGCCCAATATTAGCGCTGGAGGTTTGGGGTGGTCACTCTCTGCTATACAGTTCACAGCCTACCCTTTCAATGAATAAATAAAAGAACTAAAGTAAAAAAAGAAAAAGTGTAAGAGCTAGTGAGTAATAAGCCTGAGCTATTGGATGAGCATTTATAATAAGACTCAGAGTGATTATTTGAGACAGGAAACACCTATTTACAATCTTCAGTTGCAGTACTGAATTCAAGGCCAGTGTGGGCTACATGATTGATCTTATCTATAAATAACAAGTATATGAGTCAGTCATTGAATAAATAAATAACAATCTTAACAGTATCTTCATCCAAGCACAGTGGCTCAAGACTGTAATCCCAGTACTTGGATTAATAGTTTGGAGGCAGGGCTGGAGAGATGGCTCAGCGGTTAAGAGCACTGGCTGCTCTTCCAGAGGTCCTGAGTTCAGTTCCCAGCAACCACATGGTGGCTCACAACCATTTGTAATGATATCTGGTGCACAGGAATGCAGGCAGGCAGAACACTGTATACATAATAAATAAATCTTCAAAAAAAAAAGCACTTGATGCTCTTGCAGAAGACCAGAGTTCAGTTCACAACATCTTGACCTCTTTGGGCACACCCACCCCACCCCCATGTACACACACCAAAGCACACTTACACACAGAAACAAAAATTAAAAGGTTTTGAAATAAGACCACATGTTGTAGCTCTGGCTGGCTTAGAACTCACTATATGGGGAGGGCGGGGGAGGAGGGGAGGGAGAGGGAGCTGGGACTGACACATAAAGCAAGCTTGTTTCTATCTTTAATTAAAAAGGAAAAAAAAAACACTATGTAGACCAGACTGACCTTGAACTCGCAGAGACACGCTATGCCTCTGGCTTCCAAGTGCTGGCATTAGAGATGCGAGCCACCACCACTTGTCCTAAACCTGGCTTTTTAAGTGAGTGCTGGAGGTGCGAGCTAGGGCCCTCGTGCTTGTCTCTGGTGCTGAGCCCACCCCCCCCTTTCTTTGGTAGCGCTAGGATTTATTAGGATGCACCCAATTAACAGGTGCTAGGGCCTGTCCGAGGTGTTCTTAATGTACAAAGCCCCGACCATCGGCCAGTGCTTTGTCAGTAGACAGCAAGAGTCTGACAGCCAGGTGGATGCTTGGCGGCGTCTTCTCCCCCAAACTTGAGTTGGAGTCCATCCGCTCTGGCCACCATGTTTTCACTGTCTCTCAGCAGGAAATGGAACTTACTTAGGACCTGGCCCAGGACTCATAGGACCATCAGCTCAGTTCAATCAGAGGTCGGAGGCCAAAAAGGCATCACCCCTTGGCCACCATCTTCGATGCCTTCTGGGCCCACGCTTTTAGCGCGAGTCCCTAGCTTAAGGAGAGACCCTCAACGGTCCGTCCGTTCAGTTCCCCGGACTGATGCAGTGAGGTGCCTGATCCTGGAACCAAGGATCTCTTGGGTACTCCTAACACGAGGCGTAAACACCAGGACCACCCCGCATCCGCAGGCTCATAAGCCCAATGGTCTGAAAATTCTCACGGTGGAAGCTCAGGAGATGCTGAAACAGCCCCCGGGGAATCCTACTGATGTGTGGGGGACTTGGGAGGGGGGTCTTAAAGCAGAAGGTGCTCTGAGATTTGGCTACCACCAAACCGGCAGTACTAAACTAAAGGAGATCTATGAGTTCCAGACACCTTCCCAATTAGAACTGGGGTAGGGAGGAAAAGACATGCGTCTCCTACCTCTATTCCCGGCTCCATGAGCCAAACAGGGACAAGGGTCTGAAAGACTCACTTCCCCCCGCCCCGAGCCACACTTGATTGGAAGCCACCTGCACGGTTTTCGGAGTGGACAGTGGCAGGCTGACCGGCAGAAAGGTGCGAAGACAAAAAGCTGACCTCAGCCAGGCCCGGCTGGCCAGCCAGCCTACCCCCTCCCAGTTACAGCAAGCAGCTCGGCAGGGCTGGGCGCCAGCTTCTCGCTCCAAACCGAGTTCCCGCCGAGCGTGCTTAATGCTGCAGCAGTGACATTTCTGTCATCAGAAGCGAAAACAGGAACCAGGCCATTTTGACGAGGGGCACTAGATTGGGAGAGTCGGTGGCTGGGGGAAACTAGACTGGGAGAGCTGGTTCTGACGGCTGCGGTTTCTTAATTGCCAAAGGCCCAAGGCAGTGTCCCCGACCTAAGGTTCCATGACCAGAAAGCTGCACCCCCCCGCCCCAAAAATCCACAGGCTGTCTTGGAAAAGTGGGGAAACTGAGGCCACAGCGTTGGCACTAGACGAATCTGGAAAAGGAAAAACGAAGTACTGAGAAAAGCATCCAAGGAGATGCCTTGAGGAGTGTCCAGGTGGGAGCGGCAGCCTGGGGAGTCCGGGAGCTGACCTAGCAAGCCCCAGGGACCCAAGGCGGAAGGGCTCTGCACACCTGACCCCGGCCCGATCGCCCTCAGGAGGGCGCTTGCACGGCGTCCCGTGCTCCAAGCAGCGACAGGGTTAAGCTTCCTCGCGGTACTTGCCGCAGTAAGTGGAAAGGAAAGAAGTGTCAACTCCGTTCTCACCACAGCGGGGCTGTCGGATGGCACCTCCCCCCGGCCCCGCGCACCCCGCCCGGCCTGCTTCCCCGCCCTCCCCTCGGAACGCGCGCGCACACACCTCCCACCGCTTTGCCCAAATTATTTTCGATCCCGGGAGACTCCGGATGCCAGACGCGCTCGGCGGCGGCGGCGGCCGTGCCTGATTCATTGCGCCAAAGCTGCAGATGCGACCTCCCGCCTGCGCCCCGTGCCCCGGCCCGCTCTGGGCTGGGCGCGCGCCTTAGAGAGGTGGAAGGGGGGCAATTTGTAGGCGCTTTCCCCTCCCCACAAAAGGCGGGCCCTGCCTCCCTCCCCCCCTCCCGGGGGCCAGGTCCCCAGTCTCCAGCTCCCCGGGCTGCGCTAATTAGCTTCCTCCGGGGGCGCCACGCGGCGTGAGGGGCGGCAATTTCCCGGCTGGGCTTGCGGGGGAAGCGCTCCTTGCCGCCTGGGAAGGTGAAATGGGAAACTCGATTCAAAGAGACCTCCCCCACCCCTCCCGCCAAGCTCCGTAGAATACGGGTTTGAAATTCCTCCTCTCTCTCTCTTTTTTTTTTTATTTATAGTGCACGGTCACCATGGCAACCGCGGAGGAGGTCACGGTAGCTGGGCCCCCGCGCGTCACCCCGCGCCTCGCCGGCTGCAGGCGCCCGGATTGCGGCCTCCCAGGCGCCGTGGCCCTCGTGGACTCAGCGCCGTTCTCCGCCCCCGCTCCGCCCTGCCCGCAGCTCAGGCCCCCTCCACAGGACTCTGCCGAGTCCCAACCGGGAATGTAGCACCTGGGCGCCAGTGCGCTCAACTATGCTCGGGCCATCCCTCCCACCACCCCCACCCTCCGCTTTGGCACGCGGGACTGCACCATGAAACACGTGCCCAACACCAAGATAGGAACATGTGCCTCTCTTGCCGAGGGGCTCACCGCTCTTAAGGATGCCCTGGGGAATCGACCTATATTTGGTGCACAACTCCGCTGTCCTTGCCAAAACAGACCTCCGGTATAGCTAAAAGGGCCAGATGTAGCAGCAGAGCCTAGCTCTGCCTAGCTGATTTAGGAGTTGGGTGACTTTGGCGAAGTCCTGGCCTATCCGTGCCTCAGCTTGCTCGTCGGCAAAATGGACTTTACGAAGTCGATTTAATTGCTTAACGCGGTGTTTGCCAAGTGGTTCCGAAAAACTGTCGTCAGGGTCGTTTTTTTTTTTTTCTTTCTATAGGCTGGAAAGGCCTATAGTTCTGATCAGAGGAGTGCGCTCAGATTGGAGACTTTACAGGGTACCCCGAGGTCTCCAATACCCTAGCCTAGGCGCATAGGAGGCATGTGAGGGGACCCGAGCCGGTAGCACAGGGCCCCGGCCTGGCAGGGGCGTGGCGGGTCAGGTCGAGCTTTGGACGTTCGCTACATCTGCACCCGGAACCCTGGAAACGCGCCCCCCGCGGAGTCCTTTCCCGCCCACTCGCTCCTGCACCATTAGCAACAGGCCGGCCTGCCCTTCATCGCGGACTGACGCCGCACCTGCCCCACCGGATGACGGCCGGGAGCCGGGCGGTGCCCCCCACCGCGCACACTTCCTCCCGGACCCCTGCGCCCCGTCGAGCGCACAGGGGGAGGGGACCGGGTCACCCCCGGCCCCACCAGCTTCCCACAGTTTAAGCTGCCCGCAGCCGGGGAGGCAGGAAGTCTCAGAGCCGGGGCGTGGAGGCGGGGTGGGGGCAGGAAGTTGGGGGTGACTCTCCCAGAGACCCCAGACGGGCCCCGGCGTGGGAGCAGGGTGGGCGGGCGCGCCGGGATTAAGGGCTCCCCCTCCTCTGTAGCCCTAGGCCATGTGACTGTGGCTGGAGCGCCCCGCAGGGTGAGGGCTAAGGCCGCTACCTCTGGCGACCCCCAGCAGCGCGTACGAGGAGGGAGGGGCCGCCTTTGTCTACTTTGCCGCAGAGGCAGCCCCCCCAACAACCCCTCCCCCCGCGCCCCGTCGGCCCTGCACAGCCCGGGTTTTCCATCCGGCCTGGCTCGGCTCGGCAGCTGTCAGGGGACCGAGCTGACCTTCGCGAGCAGGGAGTTTCAATTAGCTGCAGATCAGATAAGCGGGCGGGCCCGTCTCTCCGGGCACCGCGGGGGCGCAGCCCCGCCCCCGCCACGCCGCGCCAAACGCGCTCCAGATGGGAACAAAGATGAGGACGCAGCTCCACCTGCCTCCCCAGGGAGGGGAGGGGAGAGGAGGCCCCGTCGGGAGAAGCTTCCCACCCGAGGCACGGTTGCACGCCCTCCCCAGCGGATCTGGGGAGCCTGGGTCGGGCCAGGTCAGGGTTCTGGCCAAGATGATCTTTGCGGCTCTTCTTGCCTCTCGCACTGACCTCATCTGCAGCTGGGCATCGTGCCCTCTCTCCCCCGGAAGAAGCATTTTTGCCATCTCTGATCTCATGCAGACCTTCTCTGTGTGGCTGGAGGAATGAGCGGAAGGCCAACAACAAAGGGAAACTGAGGCACCCTGTGCCTCCTTGATCCACGTCGCGCACCAAGCACGCACCATCTCGGGTTTAGTGAGTGCCTACTAAAATGCCAGACACTGTTTAAACTCTTTGGGCACCAAGAGAACAAACAGTCGCGTCTCAGCTTCACAGAACGCGCATTCTTGTTCAAGGAGACACCATAGTCAAATAAGTCGTTGAAACAAATCGCCAAAGGGCGAAGAAGACATTAAAATAGGTCACACGAGACTGCTGTTGTAGTCAGGGAAGACCTCTCAGAGGAGGCGAGCCTGAAGGACCAAGAAAAGCAAGTTAGCAAAGGTTGGAGGCTCATTTAAGGCGAAGGCCCCAAGGCTCGAGAAGAACAGGCCTTGCGGAGGGTAGGGGAAGGCCTTTATGAGCATGTCCACAGGCCCAAGGGTGGTCCTAATATGCCTTACACTCTCAGAGATACTCCTGATTCTGCCTCTGGAATCCTTGGATGTGCAGCACCACATCTGACACTGACTTAAAAAAAATTAAGATTATTTTATATGCATTGACGTTTTGCCTGCATGAATATCTGTGAAGATATCAGGTCCCCTGGAATTGGAGCTGCAGACAGTTGTGAGCGGTCATGTGGGTGCTGGGAACTGAAAACAAGCTGAGTCATCTCTCCAGCACCCACTTAAAATTGCAGAGGGTCCCTCTGAAACCTACATAGATCAGGAAAAGGCGAACATTTTGGCAGGGAGGAGAAAGAGATGATTAAGGGGGGGTTGATGGTTTTGTAGTACATTTTGGCAGGTGAATTGGATTCTAGGTAAGGTAAAGTGAGCAGGACTGAGTGTAGCCCCGGAGAGCATGGAAACTCTACATAGATTAGAGGCTGAAGGTTCAGCTGTAAGTAGGGTTTTGCTCATGGTATGTGACTAAGCAAGCATCTTGCTCAGTTTCCTCAAGGGTTTAAGAAGGAAGGGTAATGCAAGAAGACCTGTATAAACAAGATGGGATTTTTTTTCTTTTGGTTTGGTTTTTCAAGACAGGGTTTCTCTGTATTGCTTTGGAGGCTGTCCTGGCACTCACTCTGTAGAGCAGGCTGGCTTTGAACTCAGAGATCCGATTGCCTTTCCCCCTGAATGCTGGATAAACAGGATGAAGTAGCTCACACCCAATGCTCTTTAAACACACACACACACACACACACACACACACACACACACACACACACACACGGAGCTAGAGACTGGAGGATCACAAATTCAAGGTCATCCTCAGCTACAAAGTCAGCAGAGCTAGATAGGATCCTGTCTCAGAAGAAAAAAAAAGTAATGGGTGGCCATCCTCTACAGGGTCACTGTTAAGTATAAATGTGATACAGCCTGCGAAGTGTCTAGCACAGGCTGATAAAGAGGTATCCTGGGGGCTGGAGAGATGGCTCAGCACTGGCTGCTCTTCCAGAGGACCCAGGGTTCAATTCCCAGCACCCACCTGGCAACTTATTTTCTGTAACACCAGTTCCAGAGGATCTGACACCCTCACATAGACACACATTCAGGCAAAACACCAGTGTACATAAAATAAAAATAAATTAGAAAAAAATTTTATTTATTTTTGGTATTTGGAGACAGGGTTTCTCTGTATTGTTTTGGAGTCTGTCCTGGAACTCACTCTGTAGACCATGCTGGCCTTGAACTCACAGAGATTCCCCCTGCCTCTGCTTCCCGAGTGCTGGGATTAAAGGCGGGGAAAAATTTGTTTTGTTTTTTTTTTTTTTTCGAGACAGGGTTTCTCTGCATTGTACGGAGGTTGTCCTGGAACTAGCTCTGTAGACCAGGCTGGCCTCGAACTCACAGAGATCCACCTGCCTCTGCCTTCCGAGTGCTGGGATTAAAGGCATGCGCCACCAACGCCCGGCTAAAAAAATTTTTTTAAAGAGCTTGGGAGGCAGAGGCAGGCAGATCTCTGTGAGTTCGAGGCCAGGCTGGACCGACAGCCTATAAAACAATACAGAGAAACCCTGCCTCATAAAAACCAAAAAACAAACAAATAAAGAGCTATTGTGTGAGAGACTTTTCTAGGAAGACACAACACACACAAATATACACATGCGCACCTACTTACCTCAAATAGGAACCTGACAACAAACCAAAGCACTGATACCATAGAAATCCAACCTGGTGAACCAATTAGTAATATTGGGATTACTTACAGGAATAGAAATTACTCAAAAGGCAGCTGCATCACCAAAGGTTCCTCCGGCATGGCTAAGAAATTATGGAAGCAAGAAACCTGTAGCGAGAAACCTGGATCGTGTTGTACAATCCGTAGGCAAGTCCAGCAGGCTGGAGAGTATCCTCACCTGGTCTGTCTGTTGCTCTGCACCTCTTCTAGGCTGATGGATGATGTGTCTCTTTCTTCCAGGTGGCTGAACTTGTCTGAGAGCAACTATGAACAAGTTTTCCTCTCTTGGAGAGAGAGGGGCCTAGTGAATCTGGTCAGTTCCAGGGACTTCCTGAATCTGTTTTGAGTTCTTCCTTCCTTAATGAATTTCCCTGCAGGATGGAATGCTGTAGCCTGAGGGAAACTGATACAAACAAGAACATGCTCTTACGGCTGGAGAGATGGCCCTGCAGTGAAGAGCGCTGACTGCTCTTCCAGAGGACCCAGGCAGAGTCCCAGTACCCACGTGGTGTCTTACAAATCGTCTGTAACTCCATTTCCAGGGGCATTTGATATCTTCTTCAGGAATCAGCCACTTGCTTTGTGCATGGAGATGCAAAAAGGCAAAACACCCATACACATAAAATAATAGTAGTATTAATAATGATGATGTAAAAAAAAACCTGATCATAAAATAGCACGCATGGGTCTCCCTCAATGCACTCTGGGGAATGGGACACAAGGATCAGGAGTTCAAGGCCATCCTTAGCTACCTTGGGAGTTCAAGGTCAGCCTGGGCTACAAGAGACCTTAGCTTAGAAAAACAAAATAACAAACAAAAACAACACAACAAATCCTTTTTTTTTCTTTTTGGTTTTTGTTGTTTTTGTTTTTGTTTTTTTGAGACCTGGTTTCTCTGTAGCACTGGCTGTCCTGGAACTCACTATTAAAGACCAGGATAGCCTTGAACTTACAGAGATCCACCTGCCTCTGCCTCCCTAGTGAGTTCGAGGCCAGCCTGGTCTACAAGAGCTAGTTCCAGGACAGCCTCCAAAGCCACAGAGAAACCCTGTCTTGAAAAACAACAACAACAACAAAAAAGAGTGATCCTCTCTCAGGCAGACCTGGGAGAATTGAGAAAGTAACCCCAGGTCCTACCCACCCTCTGGCAGAAGCCTGGAACCCAACAACAGCCATTGCTGTTGGGTGTGGCATTTTGTCGTCTGGGGCCTCCTGGAAAAGCACAAGATCAGGAGAAGGCAGGGTGATGTACCTGTGCCTCTCTGTGTAGTGCAGGGGTATATACCCTTGGGGAAGTGTACTGCGGTTCTAATTGATATTTACAGACTTGTAGCTCAGAGGTAAAATGCTTGCCTAGCATATGTGGTGAGAGGACTTCCCTAAGTTTGATTTTCAGCATTGAAAACAAACAGGGATA